CTTTCATCCTTGACATCTTGGCAGGGGGAAGGGAATTATTAGTGTGACAAAGAAAACTAAATTTGTTGCTTATTCTAACATTAAGTGAAGAACAATTCCAGCCAAAAATTAATAGAAACCTTTTTAGATCGTACCAATATTCCTGTTTGCTCTTTCCAGTAATCTTTCCTATTCAGATCCAGCCACTAGAATTTCTCTGAGTGTGAAGAATTCTGCTTCAACCCATTAAATTGCAATGACAAACATATTACAACTAAGGTGGCACATGACCAAGGTCACGATCCATGCACAGACCAAGGACGATCCATGCACGAACGGACTTAACCTTTCATACCAGGCTCTATTTGTGAGCTTCTACTCTAGGTTGTTAATTAACTTTCTGGTTTAAGTGCATCCAAGCTATTGAAATTGGGGTTACTTCATTGGTTTTTCCAAGTATTTTGGTTAGTTTAAGCTTTGTACTAGATCATTATTAGCAATTCAAGTAATTCTTTAGATAATAACCTTTTGAAGGGCTCCATCAATAATGATAGCTTGAAACATAAGGTGGAAAGCCAGCTACCCTTTACTTGACTTTCATTGAAGTATCCAAAATCATCTTTGCCTACTAATCTTAGATATTTTATAGCTTCTGGGTTCAAAATGGAAGGCAGCCCCCGTGGTGCTCCTTAATATACTGTCTTTATATTTGAAAAAATTATTAAAAACATGACCATGGGCACGTGGAAAAAGATTTTTGCTACTCCAGTGATGGTCACTCCATTGCTTCAACATGCAAATTAAATGAGACAATTTGCGCCCATAAAAACCCAGTTTTTAATCTGAAAATCACAGACGTCAATATTCAACTTTTGTTTTGTCAAGACAGTCAATATTTAAACTCATAGGAGTGCATTCAACCATGTCACTGATGAAAGTATATACGTGTTCACAATGACATGCCATACCTTCAGAAGTGTGCCATATGTCACACTATCTACACCACAACTCTCAGGCTTTAACATTTCCTCAAAGATCTTAAGCGCCGCATCGACATCCCCACAGTGAACACATGCTTCCATCACCGCATTCATCACTATAGTGTTGAGCTTCCCATATCTTCTCTCGGCAATTTCAATTTCCTCAAAAATCTGAACCAAAAGGAGGTCGAAAACTAAGGCATGTGCAAAATCATTCATGGTAGAATACAGAAGGACAACTAACAGAACATTTTAAATATTCTTGTCACATAAGGCATTATACCCCGAGCCTGGCAAATTAACACTCATTATGCTTCAATGTTGAGTCATGGGAGACCACTGCCAACCAAACTTAGAAGCTCAAACCACAAACGGCGACACAGCTTATTATTAAAACACTACAAACACTCTCCCTCGCACACAAGCCGGCAACTTTGCCAGAGCCCAACGCGCAGAAATTCACTCTAAATTGGGAAAGCGAACCAAGAGTTTGGAAAAATCGATTGTCATGGCACAGGCACAGCTTCCACATCCACATCAGTATATGTAGTTTGACTATTCGACCTCCATTTCCCTTCAATTTCTCAGCGACCAAACCACGTAAGCCCAATCCGGACTCCCCAACCAAACGACAAAAGCGATGCTCGCGAGCCCAAGCCCCAGCTTTTCCAAGGAAAATAAGCCGAACGAAGCACGGAAACCGAGGCCGAAACAAGCACGGCAACCCCGCGAACCGAATCGCGGCTGAGAGACCGTACGAAGGAAGGGGCGGTACCTGACGGAGCTGCCGTCGGCGGGTGAGCTGGACGATGCGGGAGGTGAGAGGCTTGAGATTGGGCCTCCCGGTCCTTCGCCGTCGGAGCAGCGACTGGCGCCGGAGCGGAGCAGACGAGGAAGAAGAATAAGAAGAGAAGGCGCGTTCATGGAAAGAGAGCGGCGGTGGTCTCGGCGATACCGAGGCCGGCGGCGGAGGCGGAAACGTCTGGAACCGAAGCATCGGCGGCGATGGTGGTGGTGGTGGCGGTGGCGGCGGCGAAGGAAGCTATCCATCCATTTTGGTGCTTAGAGAGAGAGAGAGAGAGAGAGAAGGAATGGATAATGTGTTCAGCGCTCGGCAGTGAAATTGTTGGCGGGCAAAAGCTTTTCATCTTTTTTCCACCGATGAAAGAAAAATAAAATAAACATAACTTTAACGAGGCGATGACATAATCCGCACTTGAATTTTGGCTCAATTTATAATGAAATTCTTAAATTTTTAATTTATTCGATGCAGTTCCTAAAATTTAGCTCAAGATATAATATGGTTCTTGAATTTTTAATTTGTTCAATTATTTCTTTAGACTTTTAGTACATATTTAATTTAGTCCGTGAACTATATGAAAATGTCCAATGATTTTCTTCCATTAATGTAAAATTGAATATTTTCATATAGTTTAGGAACTAAATTGAACATAAACCAATAAGTGCAATGACCACATTATACATTGGGCTAAAGTCCAGGAACCGCATTGAACAAATTAAAAGTTGAGGCTAAATTGCATATTGAACCAAAGTTTAAGGATTATTTGTGTTATTTTCCCCACTACAATGTGCTTGTGTTTAGGGGTGTCAAAAATACCCGGACCGACCCAAACGAAACCGAAATTTTCAAGTCGGGATCCTTCCGGTTAAGATAATAGATTTAAAAACAAGTACATAAACAGTTTCGATTCGAGTTGGGTATTCAAAAATACTTGAAAACTATCCATCGTCTTCCTCCTAGAGAACGCCCTCCAAGAAAGTCCCCTTCACAGTTATGTTTTACACCTCGACCCCAGCCGTGCTTTTGGTTCGGGTACTATGCGGTTCGAGACGCAATTTGGGTCGCGGGCACACATGTACCAAATATGTTTGGGTATCATGGAAACCCGAACCGTTAACACCCCTAGTTGTTTGTATTGTTGAAGTAGCGAGCCAATTATAACAGGGGATAGTGTCGTAAAAAAATACTGAATTCACACGTCTTGACACATCTACCATACTAATTTTTGTACGAAAAAAATCTTAAATTAATACACCTGTCGCAACAACGTCTTTAAAGAGCCATTTTATACTGAATTTCCACGTCAGACAAGTAAAATCACGCATCTTTCACGGACACTACCAATTAAGGTTTTTTTGTAATACGGAAATTTATATAAGGTAACGTGTCATGAATGTACCAATTTGAAATATTTTTTTGTGATAATGGGCCATATCCACCAATTTTACATTAACGTTTTAATATTTTGGCTTTTGATTTATTTTCTTTTCCACGTGGTTTCTCGTACGAAGTTCCTTCTCGAGCTTAAACTTCACGTGAAGGCCAAAATGACCAGAAAATGAGAGTCACAAAAAGGAAAGAAAGAAGAAGAAGAAAATGAGTGGTGTGCGTAAGGATGGGCCGGGCCCACACGAATTGGGTAATTTGTTCCGACTCTGGCCTGGCCCAATCGAACTTTTAGGTTTCACGGACAGGAGTAGCGACGCCCGTGAATTGCACGACACTTGGCAGCCACTAGAAAGATCTTCAAGGATGCTCCGGGACCCGCCGTCCTCGATAATTGCGGCGGGCCCGATCCCCGATCGCGATTGACCCGGTCCGCGACGACCCCGACAAACCGGTGTGATGGCCATAGATCAAGGATGAGGTTGGAGCGTTTTGTCGTTAAGCGCGATGGAGTTGGAGGATATGATCGGTTAGAGAAGTCTTTCGATCGAGAAAAGGTAAGGATCGAGGCTCGAGGTTGACTTGAAATTAGAGAATATGCTCGAGCACGGATTTTTCTACACTTAAATGACCCATCATCTTCAACAATTACGATTAAGTCAATTTGGAACGACCCTATGAACGAATCACGAAAGAGCAAAAGATCAAAGACAGAGTCAGAGCATTTCGTTGTCGATGACGATGGAGTAAAAGATTGGTGTTAGAAGTCCTTCTATCTCAAGCTCAAACTCATAATTTTTGTTGGACTCCCATTAATACAAATTAAATTTCAATGTGAATCTTGAGCCTCCCTCGTGCTTTCTTTTCATAATATATACTTACTTTCATGGACGATTTACGAGCATGTGCAATTAGCTTATATTCCTCATGCAACATTATAAGCTAAATTATATAATTCATAATCTTAATTAAATGGAGAAATTTAAAAAAAAAAACTTACATTCTTTGCTAAAAATGAATAATTAGACGGACATTTTAATATATTTTTCAATAGTCGAGAATAAACACGTATGTACAATTCAAAAAATAAAAGAAAACGAGAAAAACATTCTAAATTTCTCGTGTAGTGGAAGGATGAAGTTAATTGCACTATAAAGACAATTAAATTTCTCTTTAGCCTTATGAAAAGTGTGACACATTGTCCTGTACATTAATCAATGACACATAACCTAAACTTTTCTCTTTCATTTTTCTCCCTTGATTGCTATCTCACTCCTCTCTTCTACGTACATGCGTGTACGGTGCTCACGGAGATTAAACCCCGGACCTTATATTCTCCGATCCTACATCCCAATCCCTTTACCAATAAGACCACATGCCTATTGACCATTTTTCTTCTATTTATTTACTATAGAGTATCAATTTTTCGGTATATCTTACTTCCCGTCTTGCTTCCCATAGAAAAATTAACTTCTCCCATTAAAAGTACATTGAAAATTAAAGGTGCCGTCAATTTTTAGTTTTTCACAATTTTGCAAATATAATCATAAGTGCCTCGTCAAACTTGCTAATGAAGAATAAGAGAATATATTGCCTAGATCCGAGCTCATCGACATAACCAATTGACAACATAACGCTCAATCACAAGCCTAACACCAGTCGACCTAACCAATTGCAGATCACAGGCGTGAGATTTCGTTGCAGGTCGACTTCAATGTAATCCGAAACAAAACTTCCCAAGTTTGAGGAATTTTGAAACCTATCGATCAGTATTTTTATGCACAAAATCGATACATCATGAGGATCGACCTCTAAAACTGAATCAATTCTATCAAATCAACGTCCAATTTTATTTTATTTTCAGTATGGCCTTTGGCCGATCACATTACCATGAGGATCGTAGTTACAAGTTATGAACGTGTCCCCGTTCACGCAAATGACTCTAGCACACCCAATTCGGAGACTCTGCCTCCACACCACTTGCGTGTAATGCGTGCAATCTCGGTTCGGCGCACATGTGTTGGTGCCGTAGTCGTAGTAGGGTCCCTCGGCAGCCCACGCGGCGACGGCATCCCGCGGCCTCCACGCATGGCCGCCTCCCCAGAAGAGGTTCTCGCCATAGTCGCTGCTCGAGTGGATGAGGGCGCAGTCTCCTCGCCGCTGGTGGGCCCACCAGGAGGCGTAGCTCGCGAGGGCCTCGCTCCACTGGAGGGGCGGGAGGCCGAGCTTCGACCTCACGGCGTTGTGCGGCGCCAGGTATTGCCGGATTACAGTGCTAGAAGTGGCTAGGAGACGTCTAGATGGCACTGAGAATGCGAGGGAGTGGAAGGAAGAAAGGAGGAGGAGAGTTCCCAATAGCCCACATGAAAACAATGCCATTCTAGAGAGAGAAAGAGAGAAGGGTTTGATCAAGATTGATGTTAAACACTAATTAAAGCTAATGATATTTATATGGGTACGGTGGGGAATCAATTCACATGCTAGGGTTTTAATGCAAAGGATTGTATCAGAGGCGGAAACCACGTTAAGTAGTGGGAAGAGTGTGGGATTGTGGTTGGCTACAACTTGGGAAACGGGGTTTTCAATGATTGTCACCTTATGATTAACGAACTTACCGGTCATTACGTTATTATATATCCCGAGGATTTGCATATAATAAGGTTCCGGATAGGTTTGGATGCCGCGACCGCGATCGACACATGCAATACTCGAACAGCAAAACCGGGAAGTGCTATTCCTTTTGGCAGTCGACACATGGGGTTATAAGTCAAGCGGAAATCAAAGATGGCGGGCACGTTGATAAGATCAGTTCATGATAGAATACAAGTAACTTGTGTTGCACATGAGTCCATGTGGGTGTGGCCAGAAATCCACTATGGACATGTCTTACGCGACAATGGCGACTATGGATCACGTGCGCTTGATGCGGCAAGTGGGAAAGATCTGTCTTTTTTTTTTAATCTCCTCGACTCTTTCCTGAACTGAAGAAGTCTTCTGCCGCTCTACCGAAGAAGAGAAAGACGCTAATCGTTGAGCTTTGCCCGCTGAAAGTACAGAACGCGCACCCGCCGCGATGACTCAGAAAACAATAGGGAGAAGGATTCGTCCAATCTCTCTTCTGTGCTGTTCCGACCTCGGTAAATGCGTTTTTGCGCCAACATTGCATAGGACACGCTACGACCCTCCTCATGCTCTGCTAGGGGGCCGGTTTATGTACCGCATCGCCCACTTGGCTGATCTGCGGATTTTCCGGCGTACCCTATGAACATATAAGAGAGACACCGGGCTAGTCAAAGAGAATCCAAAGCCCTGTCTCGACAATTGGCTGCTAAACGAGAACGACCATATAAGATATGATTCATATCGAAAGGAGATGTATAGTTTTCTTTGGAGGTGAGAATCACGGCCATGAAGACTCGAGGGCCATTTGAGGGATAAGAGGTATCCAGATAAGGTCTCAAAATAAAAAAATTTGGTAACAAGAAACTAGGCCTTGCATATATCTCGTGTGCGAGTGCAAAATTGAATTTTGCACTTACTTCAGCCTAATTTCATGTGCGCGATCTTGACACCTTTTTCTTGTTGCAACAAGGCTAAACAAAAATAAACCCATCAGTAAAATTAAAGTGAGAGAGCTTTCAAAGCAATGAAGGATAAGTAAATGCAAGGAAAACAAGCTTTGTGAAATATTTTATACAACAATCCCCCCACATATTTAAAAAAGATTTATCAATGAAAAGAAGAGATAAAAGCTGGTTTCATACTAGAGGGTAATGCATCATATCTGATATCTTTTAAATTATGAACCAGACCTACAAAATTGGGAAAAAACATATATGACCATAGTAAAGCTTATAGCTTCTATAAAACAAAGGAATCTTATTGTAAACTAGGGTTCTCACAAACCACATTACACCCCCTTCCCCAAACAATTTCCGTCATTGAACGTGGGCTTGTGTTGATAGGATGTGTGCGCAGCTGATTATTAACGAATGCTCTAGAGATTCGGCCATGAATCTCATAAGAGTGGCCTCACTCTACACTTGTAGGTGATTCCATCAAGTATACACTGCAGATAAAATTCACCACCCATAATCGACATGGAATTCGTTCGGAGCTTAAATCAATTTTTGTTTGATATGCAGTTCAACACCAACCACACACCATAGAAGGGACTTAAATAAATTTTGGTTCAACAGTATCAAGAGGTGACTTGTTGGTACCCACAAGAACCTACTTCATGGGATCTCCAATCACAAGTTGTGTTACCACTTTTGTTGACATTTCAAATTTGCATAAGTCACATTTCGATGATTCAACTATATGTTTCCTTTCAAAGGTTTATCAGTCTGCCAAAATTCATTTCTAACTTCACATAATTGATCTATACAACTCCACGTTTCAATAACAGCTTTAGGATATAATGAATGCGTGTTCTCTTGCTAACATAAGCTTTATTAGCAACGAATCTTGCAGCTTTGCAATCAAAATGCATAGACATAAACGGCTTTGGTTTCACACCCATCGACTATCCCGCCAAGCAACCATTCCCAACTCAAGAGCAATAAATTCTTGGTCTAATAGGAAAATGCAAGTCGTACATGTTACTATGGCTTCTCTAGAATGCACCTGTTGAGCACATACAAAAAGGTGATGAAGTTGTACTCGAACAAATTCGGTGAATGTAACGAATGAAAGCATAATTCGTGTGATTAAACGATTTCGTCTTGAAAAATTTGTAGAGGAGGAGGGAATAAGAAAAAGAAACTAATAATCCCCAAGCTTTTGAATCTAGCACTTTATCATCTATACGATTCTGATTAGTTCTTTAAGTTCGGGATCATTTCAAATCGGTGTGCAATAAATGTAAGTGTCTTTCGTTATTTTTTCAAGTATCCTATGTCTGACAAAAAAAAAGTATCCTATGAAAAAGTAAGGGCCTGTTTGATTTCCACTTATCAAGCTGAAACCCTAGTTTCTTGGAAACCCTAAGATTTTTCCTTCCACAATCAGAAGAGAGTTGGAGTCTTGAGTCGGATAGTTTTAACTTTGATAAGTATACTGTTGGGCACAGATCAATCAATTTGGGACGAGTGTGTACTGGAGTATCAAGATTTATTTATCAATTACTTAGATCTCTAAGTAGCCTATTACTCAAGAGAAACAAATAGAGTAGTGAATTGGGTTGTCAAAGCCCAAATTTGAAAAGCTCTTTCTCACGGTTGGGCTTTCAAGTCTCGTCAACCCTTATAGGATATATTATGTTCTGAAACCCACTTAACAACGTACGCTCATGTTATTCTGCGATGAAATGTAAAGAAATTTTGGCAACCCAAAAAAAAAATACAGCCTAAAAATTACGAGCAAATATATCATTAATCTACAATTAGGCTCTCTTCTCCGATGGAGCTCTTCTCCACCCTCTTACGAGCGGTAGTCTGCCCCAAGACGCTTCTTCTAATCGCCGCCCTCATCTAAACTATGTGACTCCTATCCCTCATCCCCACCTTTTTCCTCCTTTCTGAGTTTCTCTCTCCTATTCATTATGTAAATTATTCTGTCCTTGCCCGGAAACCACTTCTTCTTCATCTTCACCTCTCTGTTCTATAGAGAACCTTTAGCTCCCTATTCATGCCCTAAGCCAGAACGTGGGCAAGTGCAAGCCCTAGTTTCAATTTCCAACCATTCCATTTGAATCAACCATGAAGAGGGAATGTGGCACTGAGGATGTGAGGCACTCTTAGTTGGACCAGGGTACTATTGGACTTCGTTTTAAAGATGATTGGATAGAATGAGAGTCGAAGAATATTGATCTTGGTCCTTTTTTTATAACCCTATGCTTCTTCAAAAGTGGAAACTGAATAATGGGCTTCGCTGACTAGCCTTAAACGGCCATCTATGGAGCCATGAGTATCTTGTGTTGAAATTTTTTTAAGACTTGTGCCTGGGCGATATGCAACTCTGATGCTCTTCATCAATTAATAAAGAACTCATATAAATTCATATATAATTTAGATGAACTAAATCTTAGACAATCAATTCTTCTACGACCTAGGTACTTTAGTACTCAGAATTTACCTAAAATATTCTTTCAAGTGGCCTCTCTCTCCTCCCAAAGATTCTCTCTCTCTCTTCTTCGACCTCCTTGGAGGGGAGGACATTGAGCTAAATCTCTCCCTCCTCTCCCTTTTTCTTTGGTTGATTTGCTTTTCTTTTTTCTTGTTCTTGATTTTCTCCCAATCAAGTATATATCTAGGAGCTTTCCTCTCTCGATCTAGTCTGATAGCTTTCACTACAAAAAAACATGGATTTTGCCACGGAAATTTGCGACGGGGAATTTTTCGTAGTTAATTTGCGACAAAATTTGCGACGGAATTTGCCACGAAATAAAAATTCATCGCAAATTAGCGACGGAAAATAAATCCGTTGCTAATTCCTTTGCAAATTAGCGACGGAAAATTGGTCGTCGCTAATTCCGTCGCAAATTAGCGACGAAAAATTAGTCGTCGCTAATTTGCGACGGAATTAGCGACGGATTTATTTTCCGTCGCTAATTTATGCAACGAAATTTACTATTTTGCAACGAAATTAGCGACGGATTTTTTTACTGTCGCTAATTTGCGACGAAAACGAATTTGTCGCTAATTTGTAATTTATGACGGAAAATAACTTTTGTGATATCCACCCCCGCCCTCAATTTCTCTCTTTGTACTGATTCCTCATATACCCCCTCGCTTTTCTCCCTCCTTCTCCCTCTTTCGTTTCTCTCGATAAACCTATCCGTGCGCGCACAAATCAATCTCGGTAAAGTTTTTCTACCAGTAAGTATCATAGCTAACTTCGTGACTAATTGGCGACGAATACGGTTCGTCGCAAAACTATTCATTGCTGGATTCGAATTTTTTTATTTTATTGACTATTTTTTTATTTTTTTTTCCTAACTTCTTCGCCGGTCGCCGGTCCAGCGACCGGCGAGACCTCGCCGGCCATGGGGCGAGGCCGCTCGGCATCCCCCAGATCTTGGGGCGAGGCCGCTCGGCCTCCCCCCATGGCCGTCAACCTCGCCATCGCCCAGATCTGGGCGACGGCGAGGTTGACCGGCGGCAATGGCGAGGCCGCTCGGCCTCCCCCAGATCTGGGGGAGGCCGAGCGGCCTCGCCCATGGCCTGCGAGGTCGAACTCGCCGGCCTCAGCCGGTCGTCGGACCGGCAACCGGAGAAAAATATAGGGGAAAAAAACAAAATTAAAAAAATTAAAAAAAAATTCGAAAAAAATAAAAATTATTAAAAAATGAATCTTAAGCGATTTTTCTTTTTTTTTAGGTACGTGTCCATTTGAAAGTCTTGCAATCCAAGTGAATGTTGCAATTCTCATCAAAT